GTATCTAAACATACATAATTTCTTAGGTCACCAAAAACAACCTAAAAATATTCAGCATTAGCTAAGACATGCCATAGATAGCAAAAATACAGTCGAAATGACTATTGACATACTGCCTGACTCTCTAAACAAGGAAGCTGGTAGAATGAGGATGCCTCTTGTCTTGAGAGTGAAGACTATTTGAAAGCTCCAGAGCAGCTCCTAGGGAATCACAGATTTCCAGAAAGAGGGAGAAGACTATCAGGGCATGTAACCATTCTCTTCCTGCCACAGACCCTCAAAGAGAAACACAGGAAACCTAAAAGGTAAAGATGAGGCCAAACCGCCTTCAGTTCTACCCAGCCTCTATACTAGCCCCGGGCAAATCAAACTGACAGATTCATGGGAAGGGAATGGTGGGTCCCTCTAGCTGCACAAGAAAATTAAACCCCAGAGTTTCCATATTCACTCTCAATGCTCTGGGGACTTCAGGAATCTTGTGAGGTTCCTACTCTGTCTTTTCCTGTCATGCTGGAAAGCTAACAAGCTACAAAAATCAGCACTTGGAAGGAAAAAAAGCATATACCCTGGTTCAAACTTCCCATCCTGTGAAAGCTGAAAAATTCTGGAATTGGACCAAGTCAGCCATGGTACTTGAGCATGTAGGGGCAAAGAGTTCAGATGTGGTCTATCACTGACAGTATTTATAAAATGCATTCTATTTAATGCAAAAAAACTCCCTGGTCCCATGCTAAAACATAACTTTAGAAAGTTCTCCCTTATTTTGACAACATGCCAATGATTGTTTAACAGATTTTTAATAAATTATCCATGCTTTACTTTTTTTTCTCAACTCATTCCTTACCAGAATCTCAGGTCTGCAAGAATTCTGTGTTCTCTGAAATCATAAATACTGCTTCAGAACTTTTTCCAATGATTGTCCAACCTGCCTCTCAGTCCCATGGAAACTCTTTGGAAAGATGTTGCTTTTGTCTTGCCTGGAACAAATTCCTTCACAGATGGGCCATCCAATGCCTAAGAATAACTCTTTTAACTATCAATAGAGACAAAGAGATTCAGTTGCACTGTTCCCGTGGGATTCCTTTGAGTTTGGACACATCTGTTAAGATGCATACATCAGAGCCTGAAAGAAGTTTTTGTCTGACTGTATCTTTGAGAACTCAAAGTTTCTGCCAAAACGATCTTAACTCTTGGCACTTGCAAAACATATACAGTTATAGATGCTTTCTGAGAGGCTCCTGAAATAAGTGGCCTATGCAGACCAAACCAGTTTAAATGCAATCAGGTCCTGATGACCTTCTTTCTCTCACACCAAAATCTTCACCTGAGGCTGTTCAGCTTTTGAACTACAACCTTATTATGCACTTCATGCATTGTCTATCCATAAGCAAGGAAATATGTAAAAAAATGCAAATAGCAGAAATCTCATTGCTTTCTTTTGCTTTTTTTATAACCTTTCCAGAACCTATGCTTGTCCTTGCACCTTTCTTCTGGGTACACAGATAGATCTGTTTGTGACAGCTGAGTAGCTAGAGATATAATTCTGCTGGAGTTCTATCAGGTCACTCTATCACTTAATTTCAAATTAATTCAAAGTGGTGTTTTTTATCTGCCATGCCCTCCATGAAAACAGTTACCTCAGGAAACACTTCCTCCTCTAACTTGTTTCTCCAATTGTATTGCATGAGTCAGCACTTCCCAAGACTAAAAGAGATAGGACTGGACACAGTGCATCCTCTGTTCTGGATTTAGCTTCAAGGATTCATCTGTGCTGGAAATACGGTGTTCAAACCCAGAAATCTAGGATCCAGTCTTACAAATTTGAGGAATAATGCAATTTCATCTGGAATAAGTAGTACCAGAGCAGCATGTAGAACATACTATATTACAGAAGGAAACCCTAAATTATTGTTGTGCATCACATATAGCTTTACTCAGGTTTGGTGGGGTTGTTTTTTGGTTTTTTTTTTGGTTTTGTTTTTTTTTGGTTTTTGGGTTTTTTTTGCTAAGTCTTCGTATAAGTAAGACTGGCATTCAGACTATTACTTTAGGCGTTCTTCACCTCTGCCTTTTACAGCTGAGGAGCAGATGGCTATCACAGAGTTTCTATTTCCTTGGAAAAAAATTTTGATCTGAATCATTCCAAAAGCACCCTGATATTTTAAAGTAGATTGGCTTCTGAACATTTCTCATAATAAATATGTGGTGCTGTTTTCTGCCAAGCACTAGTTACTGTGCATGTAAAATGGTCAGTGAAGATTTCAAACTGATTTGAATAGGTGGTCCACAAAATCCAAGCCTTTTTTTCCCCCCCAGATACATGAATGAGGCCTTATGAAACCATCTGTACATCTGTGCATTTTTCCAACAATTGATATACCCTACCATGATGACTCTTTCTGGATGTTTCTGGTACTTTCAGAGAAAATTCCTCCCAAACTTCCTCTCTAACTCTAGTTTTAAAGTATTTTTGTATTATTTGCCATCCACCAGAAAATTCCCCAGCAGAATGAAGACTGTCCTTTGAAAATGAAGTCTCTGCCCAGCTGTGGGGGTACAGGCAGTAGGATGGTCTGGGCAAGGGAAGAGAAGCAATGCTGTGCTGTCTAAAGGCAGAGGGAAGGACAAAGTCTTGCTGGCCCAAAGAAGAGAAGCATCACCATGGGTCCAAAAGCTGAGAGGAAGCAGGATGTGGCAATGTAGCTCTGAGAGGAGGGGAAAGACAAAGAAAGATTCTAGAGTGAGGGGAAATAATTGATCCAAAAGACAAGGCACATCAGAGAAAGCATTTGTAACTGCACAGAAACACATTTTTAACATTGGAAGCCACAAAAATCAATCTTTTGTGTCCATGAACATATTCTAGCACTAAAGATTGAGGCAATATTAAAAAAGAATACCACAAAACATGGTAGAAAGCTACAGTAAATATGCAGTAAATATTCATCATGCCACATTTTAATTCATGTGGGTTCTTGCTGTTTTGCAAGGACATGCCAAACAGTAATTATATGCATACCACCCCTAACAAATACAACCTGATAAAGGTCATAACCCATCAAAAATAATTGTGAGATTTTCTGTTGGTTTCAGAATACATGGAAACAGCTAACAGATCAAGAGGTCTTACCATTTCCTGAATTTCTGCAAGACTCCAGCTATATTTTGGGAACTAAATTTCAACAATTCTCAAGACAAGATAATATTAATGCTGAAATTGCTATTAAACTCATTTTCTGGAAAAAAAAAAAATCCCCACACTTTCAGTATGAAAGGAGCATCTAATCTGGGCTGGCAGTTTATTCCTATTTATATGATAATACAATGGTTTAGGTTGGAAAAGGCCTTTGACATCACCTGGAAGGTGACTTGGGGACATTAAGAACTTAGGGGTCTAAAAGACGCTGTGCACAGAACAGGTAGAGCATAAAGAACTGCAGGCTCCACCTCCCCCTGCTGCCCTCTGCCAATATTCCTCACCCTGAACTTGGCCACCTCAGAAAGCAAAAGCAAGAGTTCATTCTCCAAGTTCCCTACAATCCCTGCTGGCCTCTGTCCTAAGGTTGTTTTAATGGGTTTCCATTTGTACTGTCAAAAAAATCAGTGTGAGGTTTTAAATCCCATTTACTAATGAACTCTTTCATCTTTGTGAATGGGATAAAGGGATTCTTTGTTTGAAAATAAGGATTATTTTTTCTTGTTGTTCTGCTCATTTTTTTCATCTTTTCACAAGCTTATTGTTTTCAAAAAACATTACAAGACAAAACTGCACCCCAGTTTTAACAAAGAGCCTGACATCTCCAATTTGAAGAGAATTCTTGCATATACTAAATTGCATGCTGCCTGCTGTTCAATTGCTTCACACCTCTTTCTTCTCCCCAAATCACCAGGTGAGATTTAGGAAAGTCTCCCCAATGTTTACCAGCTCTATTAAAATCAAGATCTCTAGCAGAAGCTCATAATGAATAAAGTTGAAAGCCAACAGGAATGAATTGCAGCTAAAGTGATTTTGATAGTGATGATCCCTATAACCTTCCAAGCTTGGCCTGAGGCAGGATTTTTAAATTAAAAAAAGAAAAGGATACACATACTTTTTAGTCTGATTTTTTATTGTCATGCCCTGATTTTTTTACAGGCTTTTGCAAAGTCTGGTTTGCTTCCTAGCTGTTGAGACCTGGTGTCATCATCCTTCTCCTTTCCCCACCTCTTGTAAATTTTACAACATCCTAAACCACCGCAGAAGAGGCAAACTATATATTCTAAAACTAGTGAGTGATGAGATTCACATTACCCTGCACATTCTTGCCCAGGAGACTTTCAGGCAAGGACCTCTGTGAAATGACAATGTTCTGACAACCTGGCGAGGTAAGATGACTTTCCAAAATCCAGTTTTAAAATTTCCCTCCCTTGTTTTTGTATTTTTTGGCAAAATGGAGAAGAACGTTTTCTAAACGGCAGTTAACCCATGCTGAGTAATATGAAAGTGAATGTCCTCAAAACAACAGCCTTAAAGATGATACAACCGCACAGGTCTACAAAGATTTTCCAGATTCTCACAGACTGATCCTCTCCATAAAATACTTTCCTTTCTTCATGTAAACTCAACAGTCCTGGGCTGCAGAGCCAGTCACTTGTTTTCAGCACAGGCTGAAACCCTGCACTCGGGAGATATGGTTGGATAACAAGAAGCATGTGGCTACCTGGAGAGGAGCAACAGTTCTAGTTGGACAGGGACATGCTTGAGGAGGTCTTCCCTTTTTAATTTGTAATAAGCAGCAACCTGACCTAACAACACACTCTCAGCTTTCTCTGGCTGATTGCGTTATCATGACTGTAACACAGAAATATTCTGCTTTAGATGTAATTCCCAAAGAATGGAAAAGGTAAGCCCTGAGGAGGGTCCTGCTTATGACATTATGGGAAGAGCATCCAACTGAAAAACATTGTGCACAGTAAGGGAAGTGTTTTCAAGAACCCCAGCAGCATGTTGGTGTACTCACAATCAGATGACCCTGTGTGTGCGTGCAGGTTTGTTGGTGAATATGGAGATTGGATGAGGGCCGGGCTCAGAGAAGGAACAGCTTCAAGGTTCAGGCAGGGAAGGCCCGGCTTGGCGCTGCATGCACCCGTCTGAGTAATCTCATTCTCCTCAGACGCCTTCTGGTTTTCAGCTGTCTTGGGTTTCTTCCTGAAAATAAACAAAGAGACCTTTGAAGGGACTGACTGCATATTTGGGAAAAGGCATTTTTAGAATCTGTTAAAGATAACTTTCTTCCCCCCCCCACCACCCCCCTTTTGCCTCTCTTTTCCCTTACAGGGATGAAGGCAGAGAAGACTTTCCTCCATACTTCTTGTCTGGAAACAAGCTGCTCCTTGTTTTAACTCTGATGCAACGGCCCTGAGACTGTGTTACAGCAAATAGGCCAAGCATGAAGCTCCTTATTCTGCCCCTACTGATGACATATAAAATGAAACTTGTCCCAGTAGCTTAGACAGAGTGCTGTTTGACAAATATTAACCAAGGCTGTAGCATTTTGAATAGAGTTATACAGAAATAGAATAGAATTGTCTGAAAAGCAAACAAATATGCAAGTTTCCAGTTCAAAACGAATCAGTGCAGAGACTTGCTTTTTAGGCAAAAGCACTGAATGCAATTTTGAGATGCAGAGGTCATCTAAGTAAAGCATTAAGACTTGGAACCTGAAGCAACTGTTTATGAGCACGGCGCACACGAGCTCTCAACACCTCCCTCCATCCAGGACCTCCACGGAACTAAGGCTCAGTGAAACATTAAGCAGGTAGTCAGTCACCACCTTAGTTTCACTACGAGAAGGCAAGGCACGGTGCGAAGTGGCAGGTCGTGAATCACACAGTGAGCACTCCGAACAGGGCAGCGAGCAGCCGTCTCAGTGTCCCCGCTCCGCTACACAGGTGCGGGCGCTCCCTCTGCGCTCCCCGAGCCAGGGAGCTGCGCCGCCAGCTCGGGGTGCAGCCCCGGAGGGAACAGTGCCGCCCCCGCCCAGGATGCGGCTGGGGCACCGGCAAACATCGGCTGCTGCTGCCGCCGCATGTCGGGGGGAGAACCGAGGCCACTCTCGCAGGTGAGCAGCAGGAGCCAGGCAGGCTGGAGCCGCCCCGGTGGAACACGGTATTTCCTGCCGACCCTGGAGCAGTGCCGGGGCACCCCGGGAGCACGTCCTGCCTCCCGCCTGCCCGCAGAGGCCTTTCGACAGGCCGGGACTCTCCTCATGGAGGGCCAGAGCGGGAGCCCCTTCTCCCTGCGAGCCTTTGCCCTCCTGCGTTCCACCCAGAAAGGGGTTTGAGGGCTGCGCCGGCCTCTACATTCCTAACGGGATCCTACAGCGCGCAGAGCACCGTTCCCGCGGGGAGCGAGGAGGGGCAGAGCGGGCCAGCTGCTTACATAAAGGCCTTATATAAGGGCGGCACGCCCGGCCGGGGGCAGGGCCCGACCCGCCGCCATTGACTGCGGCCGCCGCCGGGAGGCAGCACCCGCACGGCACGGCACGGCACGGCACGGCACGGCACGGCACGGCACGGCACGGCACGGCACGGCACGGCACGGCACGGCACGGCACGGCCGGAGGAGCAGAGCGGGGAAGAAAAACTGCAATTAGAATAAAAATATAAGTTAAACGGGCCAGAAAAATAGAAAACAAGTTCTTTCCCCATCCTTCCTCCCGCAAAGCCCCCCCTAGGAGGTGGTGGGCGCGGAAGGGATGCCCTGGATCGGCCGAGGGGCAGCAAGAGGCGCCCGGTGGCAGCTGGCCGGGGCTTCGGGGTGCGGCTGGGGAGCTGAGCTCTGCAGGTGAACCACGGCCAGCGAGGGGATCAAACTGATAATCCCGCAGTTTCTGACAGCCCTGGTGCATCTTGGATTACCGGGACTACAGTCTCCACGCCACGGGACGGGCAGATGATATTGCTTCTGTAAACTATAGCTTGTATGTGGGCACATATATTTTAAAGTACATGGACTGCCTATGTTTTGTTTGTAACAGTCTTCATGGATCTTTGGCATGTTCCAAACGAACTCTGGCACACCTTCACATCTTCTGGCACATCTCATTTCCCGATCCCAGACATTCTCCTGTGCAGCCAGCATGCTCTAGGGACTGCAGGAAATCTGTGAGCACTGCTACCCAAACAGCTTTCAGATAGCACACCTTTTTGGCCAGGGAGCAAAGGCTGTACATAGGCTTGGACTCTGGATGCACAGGGCAATGAAGCTCCTTGTACCTGAGAGCTGAACTGCTGTATTTAAGAGTTAGCCCAAGTTACATGCTTGGAATACAGCCTCTGACTTAAGGTCTATCCACACACTAAGCTGCTTACCCTGGGCAGAAGACTGCTGTTACTTGCAGAGTGGGGACTTAGTCTGAATAAACAAGACTCGTCAGTCAACTAGCACAGCCATAGTTCTGTTGTTAAACCAAGCACTGACTGATGTTTCATCGTGTGGCTGATCCTGCCTGTGCCTCCCAGGCTTTCAAAACTCATTAGAGGTACAGGTTAAAAAATACTATAGCAACAGGTAGTGACACCAAGGAGGCTGTGCAAAGCATCCCCTGCTTCTTCCTATCCAAACCCATATATTTTCTACTTCTCTTCTAAGGCTGACACTGTGTAATCAAGATGCTCTTGTGTCATCACTTTTCCACATTGTAGTCCTGCAGCTCGGTGACTTTTACTCACTAGGATAGTAAGAATACAGCAGTGGTGCTGATTGGCACTAGAGATTACATCTCTCCACAGCAGTTCATTTCCCTCCCTGTTCAGATGTGGGCTGCATGTCACTATCACCTGAAAGGAATGCAGGCTTCCACAGGAGGGAAACTGAGGAATCAGCAAAGTCAGCTAAGGATCTAAAGAAAGCCTTTCAGAAAAGAAAAATCTTGGGGACACTGTGATCAAAACTACCTGTGAAGAAACCCAAAGTTCTCCAGTCTGCAATGTCCAACTACTGTTGCCAGCAAAGGCAAAGTCACAGCAATCCTGCTGTTATTTTAAGTTCATTGCTATTCTTTTGTTCTACGTTATCACCCATACAGAAAGCTCCTGTTGCCATGATCTTCACCTACATATTCTAACTAAATATTCTTACATTCTCTTACATAGGCTACTTCTATTGCTATCTTATTGCTATACGTCCTCACAGGGAGAGTTGTTAAGTACTCAATCAGGTTGTGGCATCTCCATCCTCGGAGATTTTCCAAACTTAATTGAACAAGGCCCTGACTAACCTAATCCAGCTTGGAATTCAGCTCTGCTCTGAGCAGGGAATTGGACTAGAGACCTCCAGAGGACCCTTCCAACCTAATTTTTTTTCTGATTGCACACTACTTCTATGAACATTTCCATCAGCAAGCTCTCTAATATATCTCCACGTTCCAGAAGGTAAAATGACACACTAACTTTGGAAAACAGTGAATTGTTACAACTATGTCAAAAAACCCTGAAAGAACAAGGGTAGGAGCAAGAATTCAACAAATAATAAGTGTTGTTTGTGGAACCTTCCCAAATTACACCTATTTATGTCCCATCTCTGGACTTCATTGATCGGCAATCCTATGTGATTATTTCAGTAGTAAGGGTCAGTCTACCTTGCTGCTTTAGTTCTTATGACTACATTCTTCTCTACACACTAATCTTGGAAAAGAGCTGTTTGCTATTTACTTGTTAATAAGGGCAATAATTGCCATGTTTGGAATGCAAAAGACTTTGGAATGTGCTCTTGGAGCAAGGGGCTCTGTTCTGATCTCCGCTTATCTCGGTCTCCACACATACCTATGGTGCATTACAAATCCTTTCCAATACTGAACTCACTCTTAACATTATCAGAGGGCCATCATCATCCTTGCTCCTTGTGAAGAATGGTAGAACAGCAATACAGCAAAGAGATGGTAATTTTGTACATGAACTTGATGCATAGAATCCCAGAACAGAACAGATACTGACTTTCAAAGTCTAGAAGGTCCCTGCAGAATTTATATTTGCTACTGATTTACAAGATATTTATCCAGTTTATTTCTAAATATCCTACCTACTCTATCACTTTATATTTTCTATCCTATATAAAGTCCATGTACTTTCCTTTTGTTGGTATTCACTTTCAGCATTCCCTTATATTTATTGTGTTATTTTTCATTATGTTAATTTACACCACTTAAAATATATTATCTTCTTTCTTCATTGTATGTTCTCCAATACCTAACAGTAGGCTAACTGCTTCTACTGTCATCCCCGAATTGAACTGTGTGTATCAGTACTTCTCAGCTCATGTGTAAAGCAGAATGTACAATCACTGCCATAATTTTATTTCTATTTTCTGTCAGCATCCTCATTGCACTGAGGCATTCACTCCTTTCCATGTACCTTAACACCGCACTATCATACAAGATCTCAAATGGTGGGCAACTCGTAATGATGCAGTAGCTGCAATGATCTGGGCACTGGCTGTAAACTAGAATTGGCTCATTTCTGTTTTATTTGAAGGCAGAATGGGTAGTATTTTGGATGTCCTAACCTTAAAGCTATCTAGAAACTAATTACTACCTCTGAGCTTTGGAATGCCTTTAAAACCCCTGCCACACTTCCCCTTTCTTGCTGCCACTCTTGCATACAACTTTCTCTCCCTCAACCCTCCACTTGCTCCCCACAGTGGATTTCTTTGCATGTACTTCCCTTGCAACCATTACTTGAGTTTGGAATGAATTTCCCCTGGAGGAGTTAACACGTTCGCACAGCGGGGCCAGCAAACCAGGTCCCTGTCAAAAATAGACAGTGTATGTTGTACTTCTCACACAGCAGCTATAACTAATGCTTGAACCTTCCCTTACAAGGGGAATAGCTCTCTGTCCTGCAGAGACATCAGGTTAGCACTGAACAAATTAGCTCAGGTATAGGAACCAGTGTAGCTGTGCAGAGCCCACAGTAGCATCCTGACTCTCAGAGGAAGCTATGATAATGTGACTGCATGAGAATAATACTACATAATGAACAATAATAAGGCAGTTTTCTGAATATAGGGAGGGGCTGGGTCACCAACCAGACCTTTGTTCGTTGCATATTAAACAGCACAGAGGGAACATGCCACAGGGTTGCTGATGTTGTTGCAAGTGCTGCTGCTGTCTGAGTCTGCCCACCCATGTTCCAGGCATTATTTT